AGCAGCAACATGAAACAGATCAGCAGCAACATGAAACAGATCAGCAGCGACATGAAACAGATCAGCAGCGACATGAAACAGATCAGCAGCGACATGAAACAGATCAGCAGCAACATGAAACAGATCAGAAGCATCATGAAACAAATCAACAGCAACATGAAACAGATCAGCAGCAACATGAAACAGATCAGCAGCAACATGATGTGATTTTTCACAGTGATTATTCTGGTTAGAGATTCATGAGTCTAACAGCCTCAGGGTAGAAGCTGTTCCTCAGTCTAGTGGTTCTACACTTAATGCTCCTCAACCTCCTTCCTGAGGGGAGTGGGGCAAAAAGTGTGTGTGCTGGGTGAGTGGGGTCCTTCATGATGCAGGTGGCCCTCTTCCTGCATCTGGAAGTGTAGATGTCTGTGATGGTGGGGAGACTGACTCCAACATCTTCTGTGCAGCCTTCACCACTCTCTGCAAAGCTTTTCTTTCTGCAGCTGTGCAGCCTCCATGCCACACGTTGATACTGGAGCACAGGATGCTCTCCACTGCACACCTGTAGAAGGAGGTGAGGACTGAGCTTCCCAGACCAGCTTATCTCAGCCGCCTGAGGAAGTAGAGTCTCTGATGAGCTTTCTTGATCAGGCTGGTGGTGTTGTTGCTCCAGCTGAGGTTGTCATTCAGGTGCACACCCAAGTACTTGTAGCTAGAGATCACTTCCACCACAGATTGTGAGTATCATGGGATAAGACTGAGTTTGTTGCAGAAGTCTTTTGGATGAAAGCCGAAACGTTTAGAATCCATCCAGAGGACCCGACTCTACCTTGTTAAGATTTACTGTATCTATCTGTACTTGGGTTTTGAGCAGCATCAGAACCTTACGATTAACTTTCCTTTTAGGCTCTCGTTGTCAGAAATCTGCAGTTTATCATTGGCACTAAAGTGAACAACTTGTGATTTAGTTGAGTTCAAATTTAAATTTAGGAACTGTTTCTTTTTATATCCTTCACTGACGTCCACACAGAACACGATAAGCAGCATTCCTCACACTAAGACAAAACAACAACAAATATTTCTCCTTAAATTATTGCCTCAGTTACAATGGGATTAACCTTTATAAATAAAGGTTGAATGAATATTCCCAGTGTTCTTTTTAACTCCATTTTAAATGTGCCTCAGTTTGCCAGCAAGGAGGCCTCACTTGTAATAATTTTGTTGAAAAGGTTGAGTCGATTAGGTCGAGTCCACACTCCACAGCTGACTCGTCTTTGTCCCCTGCTCAGCTGTCTTCAGCCAGTTTAAACCAGTCTCTCTCATTTTTAATTGTTGGTCATATGAAACCCTCAGGTTTCCCTGCATCCTTTGCCCTTGAACGGACCTTCTGTTCTTGCTCTTATAAACAGCAGTACTGCTATAAGTGTGGTCTCTGATGTTTTTACACATGCAGGAGTAACTCCATTAATTACAAAACCCGGACTTGGATCTCAAGACCTCCCTTTCTTTCTAAAATCTTTGAGAAAATAGTTTTTATTCAATTAAACGAGTTTTTGAATGAAAATTTAATTTCTGACATTTTTCAGTCTGGTTTTTAACACTGCACTGAAACAGCCTTAGTGAGGGGTTTGTAACATTCTTTTAGCAAATGATTCTGGTCAGTTTGTGGACCTTACCGCTGCTTGACCAGAACACTGGGTTACAGGTGCGGCATTAGAATGGGTCTGTTCTTATCTGAGTGACAGGAGGTTTTGTGTAAATGTTGGTAATAGTTTATCTTCAGTGCCTCTTTCCTGTGGGGCACCACAAGGCTCTATTCTTAGACCCCTTCTGTTTTCATTGTATCTGCTCCCCTTGGGGTCTATCCTGAGGAAACATGGTCTTTCATTTCATTGATATGCTGATTGCCAGATTTATCTGCCCTTTAAAACCAAATAGTTTATGCACCATTAAAATGTCTTGAAGACATTAAGGCATGGATTGCATAACATTTTTTAAAGTTTCAACGATCAGAAAACTGATGTCATTGCGTTTAGCTGTACTGCTGTTCCTGTAAACCTTGACTCTCTTGAACCGTAAGCAATCCGTTACAAATCTCTGGACGGTTGTAGACTCTCACTTTGTTCAATAATCAGATTAACTCTGTTCTACAAAAAGCTTCTTCCATTTAAGGCAGATAGCTAAGCTTAAGTCTGTGTTGACCAGATCTGACCTTGGTACACCCTGGACAGGTCTCCAGTCCATCACAGGACCACATAAAGACAAAACGAGACAAACCACCATTCACTCTCACTCACACCTAGGGACAATTAAGAGTTACCAATCAGTCTAACGTGCATGTTTTTGGTCTGTGGGAGGAAACCGGAGTGCCCGGAGAAAACATGCAAACTCCACCCAGAAAGGTCTCCAGACTGGGATTTGAAACAGGGTAACCTGCTCGCCGAGAGGCAGCAGCTCTACCAACTGCGCCACCGTATCAATTTATTTAAAAATTCTCCCATTACCCTTTAAGTGCACAACTGGCCTTGCACCCTCATACGTCTCTGCCCTAATACAACCTCGTTCCTTCTCGGGTGCTGAGATCATCTGACCAGCTGCTTTTGGTTGAAGCTCAGAGATCGGGCTTGTTGATCGTGGGCCCTAAACTTTGGAACAATCTGCCCCTCATCATTAAACAGGCCACTTCACTCTGCTTTTAAATCTCCTAAACTGGCCTGTTTTCACATTTAACACAGGGTGATCTGATTTAGTATTTTATTGTTTCTGTTTTACTTTTGACGCTTATAATTACATCTTATTATTTTAAATACTGCCTTGAGCTTATTGTTAAGCACTTTGGTAACAGCCGCTGTTAAAAACGCGCTTTATAAATAAATTTGACTCGACATTCAAGAGCAACGTCATGTTGAAGAAGTTTATTCAAAATTCAAACTGCCATGTCAAATGATTTACCCAAGAACAGAAAAAAATCGTTACAGTAGCTCTGCAGGACTCAAACTTCAACACTTGTTTTCACTTTAAAATCAGAGGAACAGAAACATGAAAAAAACATGGGGTTAATTCAGCTCTGCAGCATGACTCGTTTGTAAAAAGGGAGATGTAGCAGAAAAAAAACAACAACTAAATAATGGGACAATAAATTTAAAGGCATGCAGAAAGAACCAAGTCTTTTAGTCACAACTAAAATATGTTTACAAACCAAGCGTTAACTTGGAATGCTGCACATATCCTGACGTTTGAGCGGTTTCTTTTAGGTAATAAAATTTCAATTCGGCTGCAATCGGTGGATGAGCTTTAATTATTACTGCTAAAAGTAAAATGCTGTAAATATTTTTGCTTCCGACCTTTACTCGCAGCATCTGAAACAATCCTTTACATTTCTGTGTGCTCCAACAACTAAAGATTTCAAGCCTGGGGTAGAAAACAACAACAACAACAAACGTGTAATTATGGAAGTAAACGGCGTCTGCAGGGCTGTAAAAGCAGACAGAATGCAGAGGCTGAGGGGATATACGTTCAGGAAGTGCTGGGGGACTAAGTCTTCATCAGTCAGTCATCTGCAGGTGTAGGACTTCGGTGTGCACTCGCTGAACGGGAGCGACTGAAACAGAAACGAAGAGGAATTAGCTCGCTACAGAGGAAATGGAACAAAGACCAATAAGAGCAAAAACGTAAATGAATAAAAAAGACCTACACATAGCTTAGTAAACAACTACAGATGCTAATTCATAAGAACCAAATGAATCCTAAAGTGTTTCAGGGTTAATTTTAAGATGTTACCATCAAGGGTCAAATTATTCTGATCAATAAATGTTAAGTCCCCGACACTACAGAACACATAGGAACAGGTTAAGAACAAAGCATGACCTCCTCAGACTTCAGCCCATGGAGCCGGCCCGTCTGACACATTCAGCCCAACACGCACTCACACATCCAGCCACACATCTGAACTCTGAGCATGCTTAAGGCTCAACTTTAGCAAGCCGTACATTTTCTTTCACCATCAACATGAGCTTGTCAGGGGGTTTGTTTTTCGTTACCTTTGCAGACAGTGGTAGAAACAACAAGTACAGAGAAGCCAAGGATCAACGGACTGAAGGACGGATGACTACAACTCGAAGAGACACTGCGCCGGAAGGCTCTTGAAGACTGATCTCTCGTCAGCTCTTTCACTTTCAGAAGCTAAGACAGAGGCGAAGAACTCTGGTAGGTAGATAATGGGCTTAAAAAGGCCCAACTCTGATCTGTGTGGGTCAGCCCTCCGGTAGATCTGAAGGCTGGCCATCTGGGTGACTCTAGATGAACAACTGAATGTGTGTGCGGGCTGATCTCGTCTGAGCGTGTGCGTCGGTTGAACACAGTCACCCATTCACTCTGGGGAGGGGGGCGGTCGGTAGGTCGACCTCTTTCTCGCTGTCTAACATCAGATGCAGTCGACGGCTGATCTCAGGTCAGCGTTTAGTCACCCTCCCGCAGGACGTGCACACCGCCAGCTGGCAGACCCTGGGCCTGGGATCAGCTGCGGTGTCTGTGCAGTGCTCAGCTCCCACCACACGCTTTAAAGAAAATATGAAAAATAAACAAAACTGCTGCAAAGATGTTTACCGCAAAAATCACACCACTGGTGCAGTTTCATCTGAGCTAAAACCTTTCCTGAGATTTCTTTTCATGTAGTCAAATTCAGGAGCCAATTCAGACTAAAGTAAAACATTTTAATTTAATCTCTAACCTTCCCTAACTACTGTAAATGTTTCACTCTGTCAGCCTTCTTTTTTTTTTTTTTTTAAAACATCAGAGGTCCCAACACTGATCCTTGTGGCACACCCTCCAGCACGTTTCCTGCTTCAAATAATTACATTACCTGCTCAGGCTGTCATGAAGTGTGGCAGACGCCTGTCAACGACTCGTTAATTTCAGTCAGGCGTGCTGAAGCAGGGAAACATCTAAAACATGCGGGACAGTGAATCACGAGGATCGGGGTTGGGAAGTTACGTGCAACAGGGCTACATCTGAGATCTTATGAAAAAAACTACAGAGAACATACGGGTACATGTTTCTGATGAACAGTTAACAGGCTGATCAGAGATCATCTTTGCTCTCTTTTAAGGGTCAAAATGACTCTTCAGGCCAGATGGAAGACAACAGACCACTTGCGCTGATGTCGGCAGTACGTGTGCGCAGGACGTGTGGCCGCCATGCTGGAAGACGAAGTGCACGAACAGATGTTTATTCTGCATCGTTTACGGTCCGATGGTCCAGAAATGTGAAAATTTAAAGTACGATGAGAAGCCCGAGCCAGCTGACAGCAAAAACGTGAGGTCGTTAAACGATTCTGACCCCTGCATGTCGAGATCAAACAAACGATTTTAAATAACTGCGAATAGTTTTGTATGTTCGTGAGCGCTACAAGTCTCCAAACCTGCAGGTACTACGCCACTGGCTGGGTGCAGGAAAGTGGTGTCGTAGTGAGGAATGGTTATTACATAATAAAAGACGAGCTAAGCGTCGACACGTGAACTACAGGTGATGTAAGATTGTTTCCTCAGTTACACAGCGTTCACATTCTGATTGGAAGTCAAAATAAAAATCAAAAGTCAGAATTAGGTGAGATAATGAACGGGTCTACGGTTTTAAACGGAGCGAGTGATTGATGCCTCTGAGTTTGTTCGTTGTGACTGCGGAGTCTGAAGATCATAGATCGCTCAGTGGTTTGATCCTTTGACTCGCTGGAGCTCGTCTTCCAACATGGCGATTGGACCGTGCACACACAGGAAGTGACATCATTGCAACGCAAGGCCATACAGAGTAGACAGACCCCAAAAGAGAGCACAGCAGGTTTAACCTTACATGTCCCTAAGCTCCCAGGTCTTGTAGTTTTACCCCTCCCAGCCCACTACTGGCCGACAGCAGAGGCTGAGGGTCTCTGAGGACGAGGCTGAAGGATCTTGGTGTTCGTCCATCTTATCCTCACGTGGCAGTCAGGATGGAAGCAGCAGGGCTACTCCTGGTTAAAGGTAGGCTCTACTCATCAGGTACTTTTGGGCTAGAATGAAGAACTCTATCTGACTAATGTTTTAAACATGCCTGATCTTCACCTGGAACACAGGATCTCTAAAATCTATGTTTGTTTATCTATCTGGACCTCCCTGGAGTTTTTATTCTACTGGTGAAATCCCATACATGTAAAAAAACAGACAACTTGCAGGACTAAGCATTACACATTTAGTAGATGGCCCACACCTTGTTTCAGTGAATAAACAAACACCTAGACTTGGGGTTTACCTGGTCCTCTTGTGGTTTGCTGACGGTGATCGAGAGCGGGATCGTGAGGCAGAGCGTCCTCTGGGCGCAGAGCCAGACCGAGACCGGGACCTAGAGCGACTAAAGGAGACAAAGCAGCATTTACGTGACGCCAGGTCTTTTATCATAAAACACAAACTGCAGACAAGGTATCAGGTTCAGAGCATGTTTCCTTTATCTTAGGAGATAATCTGATATCCCGGTTGAGGAAACTCATCACACGCGGTGCCAGGAAAAGTTGCATTAACAGACCTCAGATCTCTTCAGACGTGTTGAACATGAACATGTTGAACTTGCACGGTCCGATAATTTAAACAAAACAACAACAACAACAAAAAAGCAAAAGTAAAATTTTTTTTGTCAACGAGTCATAAATTGTCTGCACTCCAAATAGAAACACGCCATAGATCACATCCTGTAACCACTGAAGGGTAATCTTCTTCAGAAAAACTCAAATTATTATGACCAAACATTTTTAGATATAATAAAAACTAAATTAATTAATAAGAGTTTTTCTGAAGAAAAAAAAAAAACAGGTTTTTAGTGACAACAATAAAACATTTTTAGATATAATAAAAACTAAATTAATTAATTTAAAAAAAAAAAAAGGTTTTTAGTGACAACAATAAAACATTTTAACTGAAAGTCAGTATTTTTTCCAAGAGACCAATTCAAGAGCAGGAACAAACTCTCAGAGACTGTCAGGATGTGCAACAAAACTGCTGGCACAGCCCAACAGAACCCCACTGACCTACAGAACCTCACTGACCTACAGAACCCCACTGACCAACAGAACCTCACTGACCTACAGAACCCCACTGACCTACAGATCCCCACTGACCTACAGAACCCCACTGACCTACAGAACCCCACTGACCTACAGAACCCCACTGACCTACAGAACCTCA